GACCATTGTCTAGGGTTTTGGCTTTGTTTCAGAAAAATGGGATTTTTAAAAAGTTGTTATTTTTTCTAACATATTTATTTATTTATTTATGGCTGCGTTGGGTCTTCGTTGCGGTGCGTGGGCTTCTCATTGCAGCGGCTTCTCTTCTTGCAGAGCATGGGCTCTAGGCACACAGGATTCAGTAGCTGTGGCTCAGTAGTTGCTTGTGGGCTCAGAAGTTGTGGCTCATGGGCTCTAGAGTGCAGGCTTAGCCGTTGTGGTGCACGGGTTTAGTTGCTCTGCGGCATGTGGGATCTTCCTGGACCAGGGCTCGAACCCATGTCCCTTGCATTGACAGGCGGAGTCAACCACTGGGCCACCAGGGAAATCCCCAAAGTTGATTTTAATGTTATTGACGTGCGGCTCATGAACAGAATGTGTATCACATTGATTACTTGAGATATTGGTTTTCCTTAGGGCCTTGATTTTAAAAGTTCCCTGTGTGTTCAATGAGTGTTTTCTGTTGGTAGTTGTAAAATTCATCATAGTGCTGTTAGGTGTAGATGATCAGGTGTGAGAGTCAAATAGTCTATATTTTTGCTTAATTTTGCCTGTATAAGTTGTCAGCTTCCTCAGAAGAGCATATCAGAAACACCAGTTTCCCATAAATTGGTCCTCTTTGCGCTTACCTTTAAAGCCTTGTCATTGCATTTTCTCCTTCATGTCTTCTTCTTACTATATCTAACTTCTTCTGTCCCTTATACAATCTTTGCTTTAAATGCTATGATTTAATAACCAAATTGCAATCCTAGCTTTATTTTTGCACCAGTGTGACCTGGCATTTCACTTTAAATTCCTTTATTTCCCATGTATCTGTATCTCTCTGTTGTAAATTTGTCTCTTCAGAGAGTCTATTTCTGGACTTTGCCTTTTCGTCCAACATGAAAGTCCTTATGTTGTTTGGTATGTTCAACTCATTCGGGTTTATTGCAGATGCTACTGCGGTTTTGTCCTGTATTTTCTATTTACCATACTTTCCTTTGTTTTTCTTTTATCTTTCATTGGGCAGATTGCATTTCTTTTTCTTTTATTTATATATATATATTTAAGGGCTCCAGCGATTAGATCACGCTGAGGTATATAATCCAGAATATCTCCACTACAAAGTGGAGAAATTACTTACAAGTTCAAGGGCCTTAAGAACATGACCTAGAATAGGTTTGGTTGAATATGCATGAGGTGAAGATCTTGGGATTCGTCCCTGGCCCAGTGTTCCTGCCAACAGGAGGGCAGGCACAGAGCCGCGGCGAGGGGGCGCCGCAGAGTGCGGAGGCAACCAGAGGTACCATGGCGTCCCCGGGCGTACCCCGCAGCAGCGGCCGATCCCTGGGCCTCCTGGTCTGGCTCCTGGTCCTTCAGCCTTTGCTCAGTGAGGCCCAGGCAAGCAGGAAAAAGAGAAGGCTGGGCTGGGCTGCTTGTCAGGGGTGGGGGGGGGTTGTGGGTAATGGGGTTTGGCAGGTGGGTCTTGGGGGATGGAAGGTGGGGTTTGAGGGTGAGTAGGGTGCGATGGGAAGAGGCCAGTGATGTGCGGGGTGCAGTCCAGTCAGCTCCTCTTCTCATTGTTCTTTCATCTTATCCAGGTGAGGGTGACGGACCCAAGGAGGATCCTGCAGTGAGCCCGGCAATCCAGGAGGCCCCCTCAGCTTTAGGACACCTAAAATCCTGAAGATTCCAGTACCCACTGTGTCTCTTGTGCCGCCCACACCCCCAGTGGGAGACACTGTGAAATCATTACAGGACCCTGTATTTGGATGCTTGCCTCCTCAAGGTACTGCTTCTGTACGGGACTGTACAGGCCCGCCTGGGATCTAATGGGGAACACGGCCTGGCTGGGGGGTTGAAGGGTCAGACTATCCTGGTGGAATTGAGAGTAAACCTGGCTCTGCCCTGGGGCAGGGTGGAGTTGGTGTACGTGGGGCTAGTGGAGGTGGTGGAGGACGTGGAGGTGGAGGTGGTGGAGGTGCTGGTAGAGGAGGCGGAGGTGGAGGAGGAGGTGGCGGTGGGGGAGGTAGTGGAAGGGAGGTAGCAGCTTCACCTCCAGTCCTCTTTTTACTGAGCCAAGGAGCATGTGCCCATCAGATTATTAGGATAGTTGATGGAATGGCAGCCCCAGAGAGAAAGTGGCCCTGGCCGGTGAGCCTGCAGATCAGAAATGTCCAGAAATGTTGAGGTTCCCTCATTACCCCACCGTGGGTGCTGACTGCAGCTCACTGTGTAAAAGGGTGAGAATTTGGGGTGGTGGGATTGGGCTGCTGGTCAGCCTGTCTCCCTACCTGAGCTTTCCTTTCCTCACCTTAAAACAAGGCCAAAGCCCCTGGTTTGTGCTCACTGCGAATGAAACATGAGTTTTGCATTTCTACCAAGGTCCCAGGTACTGCTCTGGTGGTCCCGGGACCTCACTTGGAGAAGCACTAGCTCGGGTGGTTAGGGGTCTGTGGAGGGGATGTGGTTTAGAGGGAGAAAATGGCTGATGGCTGGTGTAGGAGATGGGCACAGGCTGGGAAGAACCTGGAAGGGGTGGAGGGGAGTGTAGACCCTCCAGCATCTCTCTCAGGTGCATGTTGTCTTCCCACAGCTATAAGGACCTTACAGTGAAGATGGGAAACACATTTTTATATTCGGATTGCCTAAGTGCAGTGGTCGTTCCAGTTCAAGACATCATTTGGCATAGGGATTTTAATGCGAGCCTTATCACTAACGACATTGCCCTTCTTCAGCTGGCCAACTCTGTGAATTATTCTTCGTACATCCAGCCAGTGTGCCTCCCTGAAAAGAAGTTGGACGTGAAAGCTGAGACACAGTGCTGGGCAACTGGATGGGGCCGAACTTTAGAATTCGGTGAGACTGGCAGGCAGGATCTGAGGGGGGCAGCCTGGTGCCGTGGGGTTGGCCTGCAGGCTGAAGGGAGGGACAGGGAGGCTGATTCTCTAACAGGTGGGCAAGGGGGCAGGTGGAGAGGATGCTGCCTGGGAGTGATTGAAGTGCAGTAGGAATTTCTATTGTTATGTTAGGACCTGGAGGCTTGGGTCCAGGTATTATGGGTTCTCTCCAGGGTGGATTTCAGCTCCAGGGTGATGAGCTGTCTGCCACTCAGAGCTGTCCTTCTCTGGAATTACCTGGCAGGGGGCAGGGAGCTTCCTGTACCCGGGATGTAGGTCTAGCCAGAGCAGGCCTGTTGGTGAGTCTGTAAGGCCTCCTGTGTGGGAAGAGGCTGGTTGGGTACCTTTGGGCACTACCTGTCCTGGAGTCTGTGACCCTTCCCTGTACAGGCACCTGTCACTGTTACTATTGATACTCGGAGTGACAGACACTTGCTTTTGTATCAGGCTGGTAAGCCCTTGCCTCTTTCTGTCCTGATGTGTTCCTCCTTTTGACTTGGCTTTGCTTCTTACCTCCTCTGTTCCCCATGTGAGCATTTGGCCTCAGGTCCTTCTTTGTCAAATGAGACAATACCCACTGTCCTTCCTTTCTCTAAGGGGGCAACAGAGTGTGAATGTGCTGATCAAGACCCAGAATACAGGACTTCCTTGGTGGTTCAGTGGATAAGACTCCATGCATCCACTGCAGGGGGCGCGGGTTCGATCCCTGGTTGGGGAACTAAGATCCCGCGTGCTGCGCGGTGTGGCCAAAAAACAAACAAACAAACAAAAGTTAAAAAAATAAAAAGACCCAGAAGGGGATCTGGGGGCGCCTGTTCTATTCTACTCATGCAATCCGTTTACTTGAGTTGTCTCCCTGTAGCCACATCACTGCCACGTGTTCTTCAGGAGACTGAGCAAATCATTCTTCACCACAAGGAATGTAATCAGAAGATACAGACACAGTTAGGAGTCCATCGCCAAGTAGTTGGAAGAGGGGTGATCTGTGGCTATCACGAAAAGATTAAAAGTCCCTGCAAGGTGAGTTCATGGGTCCCTGGCCACCTCTGCCATGAGGTTGTCCCCTCAAAGTTTCCTCATTCCCCAGTGGCGGAGCCTGGGTTATTTGGCCCCTTCTCTTTCAGCCTTTAATTAAGGTGATTCAGGGGAGAACCCCTCAGGATGCCCCTGAGCTGGCCTGGCCTGTTCCTTCAATAGGGAGCAGCCCTCGCATCCTGGGCGGGCTGCCAGGGTGTGGTGAAGTTGGGGGTGATGATGATAATAATGTAAGTTCCTATAATTGAGTTCCTTCTATGGCAACTTACTGTGCCAGTGTGAGCATTCACCCACATTAGCTCAGTTACCCAGCTCACAACCCTGCAGCATAATTATACATATTATTATACAGATGTGGTCCCTAAAAGATATAAGCTCAAGGTCCCCCTGGGAGTGCCTGGGCCCACAGTCTCCTCTTTGCACCAAGCAGCCTTTCTGAGCAGGGGGCATCTGAGCCAGGTCTTAGAGGATGAGTATTTGGAGTCTTGGAAAGAGGAGAACATCACTGTTGGGAGAGGGAACAGCAAGTACAGAGGCTCAGAGTTCTGAAGAACGTGTCATGTTTAGGGAATGTGTTTCAGGTCTGGAGCAATGAGGTGGCAAATATGGCCAGAGGGGCTTCCCTGGTGGCACAGTGGTTGAGAGTCCGCCTGCTGATGCAGGGGACACGGGTTCGTGCCCTGGTCCAGGAAGATCCCACATGCCGCAGAGCGGCTGGGCCCATGAGCCATGGCCGCTGAGCCTGGGCGTCCAGAGCCTGTGCTCCGCAACGGGAGAGGCCACAATGGTGAGAGGCCCGCGTACCACACACACACACACAATACATATATATATATATGGCCAGAGAAGGTGATTGGAATCAGAATATGTGTGGCCTGCAATGCTGTGCTATGTTTCGCGTTCCTGTCCATGCAGGACTGTAGGCCAGGAGTTTGTTTTCACCATGTAGGCAATGGTGTTGAGCCCCAGGCAGGACCTGGGCTGGTGGGGAGGTGAAGGGGTTGTGTTTGAGGTTGAGTCATCAGTTCTTGGTGACCGACTGCCTGTGAGGGTGCGGGTGAGGGAGAGCTTGAGGAGGACTCTGAGTTTCTGACTGAGCTGGTAGATGGGGGGCCACCAGAGCAGTTTTAGCAAAGGATGTGCAGTGTTTGCGTGAGCTGGGGTGACTATGTGGGATGTCTGAGAGTGTAGCTTAGAATATGGAGGGAGCTGGTTATATGGTCAGGAGCTCTAGAGAAACTTTAGGCTAGGTGTAAGGATTTAGGAGGCTCCATGCAAAGGGGGTATTCAAAGTGTTTAACAACCACTGTGGTATAGGAAATGACCAGTCATAATATCCTCAGAGGATACTAAAGTTTTCCAATTGACTATTCAGTTCTCAGTCCTCAAAATCAAGAAATCTGGGCCTGGGAGATGGCTGGGGAAGGCCCACAGGTGCCTGTCTTTCAGCACCTTGCAGTGCAATCAGCCTGCCCTGAAGTGGGTGCTCTTCCATTCCTGCGGTTTGTTTCTTTCTCTTTTTCCAGGGAGATTCTGGGGACCCTCTGGTCTGTCAATATAATACCACATGGGTCCAGATAGGGATTGTGAGCTGGGGTGTCAGCTGTGGTTGTAAAATTTCACCTGGAGTTTATACGGATGCTGCCTTCTACACTAAGTGGCTAGTTGCAGTGGTGAACCAGGCTACCTCTTTGTATCCAGTGGTGCTCCTCATCCTACTGGTGTGTCTGGTGCTGCCTCTGGGCATCCTGGCGACCCTGTGATCACCCTGGCCCACACCCCCTTCTGTTTCTGAGACTCACACTAGCCCTGCCTCTGACTTCCCACTTCTACTCAATGCCCTTTCCTCAATTTTGTTTGGGATCCACTGACCCTGTGGAGATCCACATGACAGAGAGTGGCAGCAGGAAAGGAACCCTGGAAGTTTCCTGGCCTGGTGATCCAGGAACCTGCCTCATCCACACCTACACCTTGGCTGTGCTCTGCCTGCCAGGAAGAAGTGGGTGAAACCATCCCAGCTGGATGGCCAGTGACCTGCCAGGTGATGCTTCATGATGCTTCATCCACATCTTGGAGAACACCTAGCAAAGGAGGGACATCATCTCCGGTGAAACAGCGTTAGACCTGACACTTTATCAAACCAGTCCGCTTGGTGATTGTTGGGAGAGAGTGAGGAGGCATCACTATGTCCACATCTGACTCAGCTGTCTGGGTTGGGAGAAGGTCCCCTGCTGCCCAGTGCGGATGCATCTGTGAGTGTCCAGCCTCTGCCACACAAGCCCTCCTGGGGCAACTCAGTCTAGGAACCCCCTTCCCAGTGCTCCAGCGGCCACATCCAGGCTCACTGCAAGTTGTGTTGAGGCGTCAAGGAGTGCAGAGATTTCTGATGTCAACTGAATAAATGTTTGAAGAGTCGTGTGTGTGTTCTGGTGTGTGTGTTCTCTACTGGTCTGGGATCACTGAAGAGAACTTACATTTAGCTTAGGAAAGTGTTTGTGATCCTTTTTAAACCCTGGAGTGATGTGATGTGATGTGAGTTGACAGGTAGCTTTAGCAGTTGGGTCCTGCTGCTGTGTTCCTCATAGCCATTAGCATCTCTGCAGGGAACTTTGTGGATGAGTTTCCTAGCCAATGCATCTGGGAAGGAGGAAGTGAGAGAGACTGGAAGCAAGAGAGGGGTCAGGGCATTGGGCCCAAACATCAAGCCCTTTTTCTGTGTGTTTCTGCCGCTCCCCTTCTTGGTAAATAGAGTCTTGAGCACCAGACTGCCTTGGCCAGGCTATGGAGAACGACACTGAGACTCAGGGAGGGGACAGGTTGGGGTGCTTACTGTGTCTGTGCTGGCTTATTTCCTTCATTACCATATCGTCCCAAATTAGCTCTTTGTCATGATGCAGAGCACTTCACTTTTCCTTGATTTCTTTCGTGAAAGTTTGAGGTTGCCTTTTTTTAGGAGAGGATTAGCGCATTTTGCATATGGGAAGAGGTGCAAGTGAATAGTTAGGTGAATAAAAAAGTGGACTGGGGTAAAGCTTGATAATCCTCTCTTGTGGCATCTTTCATCCCCTTCCTTCTGGGCATATAGTGGATCAGAATAAAGAGTACATTTCCAACCTTCCCACATATCTAAGTTTGGCAATAAGTTCTGGCCAATAAAGTATAAACAGAAATGTTGGGTATGAATTTTGGAAAATATCCTTAAGAGGAGAACAAGCCCTTCATCACCTTCTTCTTTCCTGGCTAGAATGTATACATGGTGACTGGAGCTTGCGCAGCTATCTTGGGACATGAGGAACATGTTAAGGGTATGGAACAGAAATTCAGAAGGAGCTTGACTCCTTGGATTTTATAGGGCTGCCATCACAGCTCTTTATGCAAGAGAGAAATAAACTTCTCTTTTAATTAAGCCACCATCACCTTCAGTCTCACTTGCTCACAGAAAAACCTCAATCTAACTAATTCAGTTGATATTATCTGGAGCTTTATTTCTGGATTGTTAGGAATATAAGTTTTTAAAGTCATTTCTTATTTAGACTAAATTCTTCTTTATTCCTACTTGGCTGTATGCCATTGCTTCCTTCTCTATTCATATTTATTTATTTATTTATTTATTTTTGCAGTATGCGGGCTTCTCACTGCTGTGGCCTCTCCCATTGCGGAGCACAGGCTCCGGACGCACAGGCTCAGCAGCCATGGGCCTAGCCGCTCCGCGGCATGTGGGATCTTCCCGGACTGGGGCATGAACCCGTGTCCCCTGCGTCGGCAGGCGGACTCTCAACCACTGTGCCACCAGGGAAGCCCCTCTATTCATATTTTAAAATTGGTAAGGTTAAAACTTTATATTGATGAATGACTGTATTATCTCAATGCATTTCTGTATTATTTTCTTTATTGAGGTATAATTTATTCATAGTACAATGCACACATTGCACTGTACAATTTTATGAGTTTTAACAAATGTATACCCATGCTAACATCACCCAAATCGTGATAGAGAACATTTCCATCAATCCAGGATGTTCCCTTCTATCATCCCCTCCCAGGGGCAACCTTTGTTCTGTTTACTGTCAGATTAGATTTGCAGGTTATTGCATCTCACATTAATGGAATCATACAGTAAGTGTTCTTTTGGGTCTACCTTCAACATAGGTAGGGGAAGTTTTTGTCTTCTTTTTTCTTTCAGTTTTATTGAGATATAATTGACATATAGCACTGTATAAGTTTAAGGGATACAGCATAATGATTTGACCTATATACATCATGAAATGATTACCACAGTAAGTTTAGTGAACATCCATCATCTCATATAAACACAAAATTAAAGAAATAGCAAAATAGTTTTCTTTGTGAGAACTCTTACGATTAGCTCTCAACAACTTTCATATACAGCGTACAACAGTGTTAATTATACATATCATGTTGTACATTACATCCCTAGTACTTATTTATCTTTTTTCAAAAATGTATTCATTTTATTCATTTATTTATTTATTTTGGCTGCGTTGGGTCTTTGTTGCTGCGCGCGGGCTTTCTCTAGTTGTGGCGAGCGGGGGCTACTCTTCGTTGAGGTGCGCAGGCTTCTCATTGAGGTGGCTTCTCTTGTCTTGGAGCATGGGCTCTAGGCACGTGAGCTTCAGTAGTTGTAGCATGTGGGTTCAGTAGTTGTGGCTTGTGGGTTCTAGAGTGCAGGCTCAGTAGTTGTGGCACATGGGCTTAGTTACTCCACGGCATGTGGAATCTTTCCGGACCAGGGCTCGAACCGCTGTCCCCTGCATTGGCAGGCGGATTCTTAACCACTGCGCCACCAGGGGAGCTCACTTATTTATCTTATAACTGGAAGTTTGTACCTTTTGACTGCCTTCATCGAATTCCACGTATTGTTTTTGAGATTCATCCATGTTGTCATGTGTATCATCAGTTCATTCCTTTTTATTGCAGAATAGTTACCCATTATGTGAATTTTCCACAGTTTGTTTATTCTCCTG